TCAAAGATTGTATAGTTGTATGTATGTTGTGCTGCCTCCGGTGCCTCTGTTTTGTTCCATTGGTCTATATCTCTGTTTTGGTACCAGTACCATGCTGTTTTGATTACTGTAGCCTTGTAGTATAGTTTGAAATCCGGTAGTGTGATGCCCCCCGCTGTGTTCTTTTTGCTTAGAATTGACTTGGCTATGCAGGCTCTCTTTTGGTTCCATATGAAGTTCATGGTGGTTTTTTCCAGTTCTGTGAAGAAAGTCAGTGGTAGCTTGATGGGGATAGTGTTGATTCTGTAAATTACTTTGGGAAGTATAGCCATTTTCACGATATTAATTCTTCCTAACCATGAACATGGAATGTTTCTCCATCTGTTTGTGTCCTCTCTTATTTCATTGAGCAGTGGTTTGTAGTTCTCCTTGAAGAGGTCCCTTACGTTCCTTGTGAGTTGTATTCCAAGGTATTTTATTCTTTTTGTAGCAATTGCGAATGGCAGTTCGCTCTTGATTTGGCTTTCTTTAAGTCTGTTGTTGGTGTAGACGAATGCTTGTGATTTTTGCAAATTGATTTTATATCCTGAGACTTTGCTGAAGTTGCTCATCAGTTTCAGGAGTTTCTGGGCTGAGGCAATGGGGTCTTCTAGGTGTACTATCATGTCGTCTGCAAAAAACGTGGCTTCCACCTTTCCTATTTGAATACCCTTTATTTCTTTTTCTTGCCTGATAGCTCTAGCTAGAACTTCCAGTACTATATTGAATAGGAGTGGTGAGAGAGGGCATCCTTGTCTAGTGCCAGATTTTAAGGGAATGATTCCAGTTTTTGCCCATTCAGTATGATATTGGCTGTTGGTTTGTCATAAATAGCTTTTATTACTTTGAGATACGTGCCATCGATACCGAGTTTATTGAGAGTTTTTAGCATAAAGGGCTGTTGAATTTTGTCGAATGCCTTCTCTGCGTCAATTGAGATAATCATGTGGTTTTTGTTTTTGGTTCTGTTTATGTGGTGAATTACGTTGATAGACTTGCGTATGTTGAACCAGCCTTGCATCCCTGGGATGAATCCTACTTGATCATGATGAATAAGTTTTTTGATTTGCTGTTGCAATCGGCTTGCCAATATTTTATTGAAGATTTTTGCATCTATGTTCATCATGGATATTGGCCTGAAGTTTTCTTTTCTTGTTGGGTCTCTGCCGGGTTTTGGTATCAGGATGATGTTGGTCTCATAAAATGATTTGGGAAGGATTCCTTCTTTTTGGATTGTTTGAAATAGTTTTAGAAGGAATGGTACCAGCTCCTCCTTGTGTGTCTGGTAGAATTCAGGTGTGAACCCGTCTGGACCTGGGCTTTTTTTGTGTGGTACGCTCTTAATTGTAGCCTCAACTTCAGACCTTGTTATTGGTCTATTCATAGTTTCAGCTTCCTGCTGGTTTAGGCTTGGGAGGACACAGGAGTCCAGGAATTTATCAGTTTCTTCCAGGTTTACTAGTTTATGCGCATAGAGTTGTTTGTAATATTCTCTGATGATGGTTTGAATTTCTGTGGAATCTGTGGTGATTTCCCCTTTATCATTTTTTATTGCATCTATTTGGTTGTTCTCTCTTTTATTTTTAATCAATCTGGCTAGTGGTCTATTTTGTTGATCTTTTCAAAAAGCCAGCTCTTGGATTTATTGATTTTTTGAAGGGTTTTTCGTGTCTCAATCTCCTTCAGCTCAGCTCTGATCTTAGTTATTTCTTGTCTTCTGCTGGGTTTTGAGTTTTTTTGATCTTGCTCTTCTAGCTCTTTCAATTTTGACGATAGGGTGTCAATTTTGGATCTCTCCATTGTCCTCATATTGGCACTTATTGCTATATACTTTCCTCTAGAGACTGCTTTAAATGTTTCCCAGAGGTTCTGGCACGTTGTGTCTTCATTCTCATTGGTTTCGAAGAACTTCTTTATTTCTGCCTTCATATCGTTGTTTACCCAGTCAACATTCAAGAGCCAGTTGTTCAGTTTCCATGAAGCTGTGCGGTTCTGGGTCGGTTTCTGAATTCTGAGTTCTAACTTGATTGCACTATGGTCTGAGAGGCTGTTTGTTATGATTTCAGTTGTTTTGCATTTGTTGAGCAGTGCTTTACTTCCAATTATGTGGTCAATTTTTGAGTAGGTGTGATGTGGTGCTGAGAAGAATGAGTATTCTGTAGATTTGGGGTGGAGAGTTCTGTAAATGTCTATCAGGTTTGCTTGCTCCAGGTCTGAGTTCAAGCCCTGGATATCCTTGTTGATTTTCTGTCTGGTTGATCTGTCTAATATTGACAGTGGAGTGTTAAAGTCTCCCACTATTATTGTGTGGGAGTCTAAGTCTCTTTGTAAGTCATTAAGAACTTGCCTTATGTATCTGGGTGCTCCTGCATTGGGTCCATATATGTTTAGGATCGTTAGCTCTTCTTGTTGTATCGATCCTTTTACCATTATGTAATGGCCTTCTTTGTCTCTTTTGATCTTTGTTGCTTTAAAGTCTATTTTATCAGAGATGAGAATTGCAACTCCTGCTTTTTTTTTGCTCTCCATTAGCTTGGTAAATCTTCCTCCATCCCTTTATTTTGAGCCTTTGTGTATCCTTGCATGTGAGATGGGTTTCCTGGATACAGCACACTGATGGGTTTTGGATTTTTATCCAATTTGCCAGTCTGTGTCTTTTGATTGGTGCATTTAGTCCATTTACATTTAGGGTTAATATTGTTATGTGTGAATTTGGTACTGCCATTTTGATGCTAAGTGGCTGTTTTGCCTGTTAGTTGTTGTAGAATCTTCATTATGTTGATGGTCTTTAACTTTTAGTGTGATTTTGGAATGGCTGGTACTGGTTGATCCTTTCTTTGTGTAGTGCCTCTTTTAGGAGCTCTTGTAAAGCAGGCCTGGTGGTGACAAAATCTCTGAGTACTTGCTTGTTCGCAAAGGATTTTATTTTTCCTTCACTTCTGAAGCTCAGTTTGGCTGGATATGAAATTCTGGGTTGAAAGTTCTTTTCTTTAAGAATGTTGAATATTGGCCCCCACTCTCTTCTGGCTTGTAGTGTTTCTGCCGAGAGATCTGCTGTGAGTCTGATGGGCTTCCCTTTGTGGGTGACCTGACCTTTCTCTCTGGCTGCCCTTAGTATTCTCTCCTTTATTTCAACCCTGTTGAATATGACGATTATGTGCCTTGGGGTTGCTCTTCTTGCGGAATATCTTGATGGTGTTCTCTGTATTTCCTGCAATTGAGTGTTGGCCTGTCTTGCTAGGTGGGGGAAATTTTCCTGGATGATGTCCTGAAGAGTATTTTCCAGCTTGGATTCATTCTCTTCGTCCCCTTCTGGTACACCTATCAAACGTAGGTTAGGTCTTTTCACATAGTCCCACATTTCTTGGAGTTTTCTTCATTCCTTTTTGCGCTTTTTTCTCTGATCTTGGTTTCTCATTTTATTTCATTGAGTTGGTCTTCGACTTCAGATATTCTTTCTTCTGCTGGGTCAATTCGGCTATTGAAACTTGTGCATGCTTCACGAAGTTCTCGTATTGTGTTTTTCAGCTCTTTTAATTCATTCATATTCCTCTCTAAGTTATCCATTCTTGTTATCATTTCCTCGAATCTTTTTTCAAGGTTCTTAGTTTCTTTGCATTGATTTAATACATGATCTTTTAGCTCACAAAAGTTTCTCATTATCCATCTTCTGAAGTCTAATTCCGTCATTTCGTCACAGTGATTCTCCGTCCAGCTTTGTTCCCTTGCTGGTGAGGAGTTTTGGTCCTTTCTAGGAGGCGAGGTGTTCTGGTTTCGGGTGTTTTCCTCCTTTTTGCGCTGGTTTCTTCCCATCTTTGTGGATTTGTCCGCTGGTCATCTGCGTAGTTGCTGACTTTTCGATTGGGTCTCTGAGTGGACACCCAGAATGTTGATGATGAAGTATTTCTGTTGCATGGTTTTCCTTCTACCAGTCTAGCCCCTTCGCTGTACGACTGCTGAGGTCCGCTCCAGACCCTGCTTGTCTAGGGTGCACCTCTAGCAGCTGTGGCACAGCGAGGGATGCTACCAGTTTATTTTTCTGCTATCTTTGTCCCAGGATGATGCCTGCCTAATGTCAGTCTTTTGGATATAGAGGGGTCAGGGAGCTGCTTGAGGAGACAGTTTGTACTTTATAGGGGTTTAATTGCTGAGCTGTGCGCTCTGTTGTTCCTTCAGGGCTGTTAGGCTGCTATGTTTGATTCTGCTGCAACAGAGCTCATTAAAAAACCCCCCTTTTTTTTCTCAAATTCTCTGTGTTGAGGAGTTTGGGCTTTATTTTTGGATGTTTCATGAGGTGTCCTGCCCAGCTAGAAGGCAGACTAGCCACTGTTTTGTTGCCGAGGCTCCGCCCTGCTGTTGTGTGATTTGCACTGTTCCTGCAGGCTCTGCTGTGGTCTCCGCCACGCCCTGCGGTAGAGTCTCTTCGTTGTAGCGTGTTGCCTCAGCAACGGCAGGCTGAGTCAGCAGTGGGCGTGTATCTCAGTAGGGACAGGTTGCCTTGGCAACGGCTGGCTGTGTCAGCAGTGGGCATGTATCTCAGTTGTGGCGGGTTGCCTCAGCAACGGCTGGCTGCGTCAGCAGTGGGCGTGTATCTCAGTTGGGGTGGGTTGCCTCGGTAGTGGTGGACGCCCCTCCCCCACAGAGCATCTCGGACCGTCTGCCCAGGATAGTTTGAAATCGCGGTTTTGTTTGTCCCACTGGGTATCCCAAACGATCTGTCCCTGCAATCCCCTGGGCTGGGCTACTGTCCAAGTCTCGTTCAGTCTCAAGTCCAGCCCTCTCAAGTCTCAGGTTGCCGGTTCAACAAGGCACCTAGACAAGCGCGCCCTGTGGGGATTGCTGGGTAGGGCCGGCCGCCGCCACCCTGGCTGCCGGCTTCGCCAGGCAGACCTACTGCCTGGCGTCCCGTGTCTTTTTATACTTGGGAGTTTCCCCGTTCTGTGGGCAACAAAGATCAGTCTGGAAATGCAGCTCTGACTCACCATTTGCGGATTCAACACAAGCTCCAATCCTGGGTTGTTCTTACAGTGCCATCTTGAGTCCTCCCCAGCATGCTTTTAAGATAAGGTGCATCCTTCAATTAAAAAAAGACATTGATTGCCCAAGATAAGAAGCTACGAATAATGTTCAGGAAAGTATCACTTTTGAACACTGACAATTTCTGTTCAATTCGAACCGTTAATAACTGAGATCCTTCGGGAAAGAGTTTGAAATTAAATTTAGACCTGAAGAGATTTAAGGGAAACTACTTAAAAAAATAAGTTGTATAGGAAGTTGTTAGATAAGTGTACAAACCATGATAAAAGACATAATAGGAAAAATCTTGGGAATGTAGCCACTGTGAGAAAGTTTTCAGCTATAATACAGCACTTACGTATAAACCAGCAGTAACCAATTTTCTTATGTACAAATGAATAAAGATCCACCTTCAGAGAAACTACACATCTGTGAGGAGTACAAAAAAGCCTTCTGCCACAAGTCTGAATTCATTAGGCATCATAGAAATCACACTAGAGTAACCATATGGGTGTTCTAACTGTGGAAAAGCCTTTTCACATAAGTCAACCCTGATTCAAACATCAAAGAATTCATGCTATGTATTTGTAGGAAAGCCTTCACTCATAATTATATCTCATAGAACATCAGAGAACACGTACAGGAGAAAAACGCTTTGTGCCTTTGTGTGCATTGAATGTGAAAGTCATTTGACAAAAAAGTCATACCTCAATGTACATTGAAAAATACATGCAGTATAAAGACCTATTGTTGCAGAGAATGTGGGAAATCCTTTAGCCAGAAGTCATGCCTCAATAAACATTGGAGAACTCATACAGAAGAAAAAACTTATAGATGATATGAATGTGGCAAAATATTCTACCAGAAGACAACACTTGGAGACATGATAAACTTGTGCTAGAAAGAATGCCTAAAAGAATTGAAATATAATTGTGAGAATGCCTTGAGCAACATACCCAATTTTATTGTGTATACAGGAATTAATCCTTAGGAGAAATTTTATCAATTATAGAGAATTTGTACAAATTTTGGCATAAGGGCTATCATGATTTAATTGTTAACATAATTTTATGAATAAGACTATGAATATACTTTAAAAACATAAATATAATCACTGTGGAATGTGAACATTTTAAAGTGTATTGTGAATGTCCTGGATGCTTAATACCAAGTTTTTTTTTTATCATTCTGATAATTTTAAAAGGTCTGCCCTCCTGAGCTGCCATGCCATCCACATAAAAGAAATATCTACTTGAAACCTGCTTTATTCAAAATTTTTCTCCAGATCAGAATGTCTGATCCTGATGAGAAAGGCTACATAATTATGTATACAGGCAAAATTAAAAGAATGACAAGAAATATTAGACTTAGTCCATTTGAGTTGTTACTACAAAATACCATAAACTGAGTGGATTATAAACAACAGAAATTTATTTCTCAAAGTTCCTCAAGTTGGAAGTCCAAGATCAAGCCATCCATAGATTTAGTCTCTGGTTCATAAATAGCAATCTTCTAATGATAAACTCACCTGTGGTAGAGGAGAGGAAGCTCCCAACATCCCTTTTACATTGGTACTAATTACATTCATAAGGACTTCACATTCATAATCTAATCAATTCTCAAAGTCTCCACACCCAAAATTTTAACATTGAAGTTTAGCTTTCAGGATATGAATTTTGAGGTGATGCAAACATTCCAGTTGTAACAATACTTTATACAATTATAATACATACATTTTAAAAACAACAGATTAATGCTTTTCAACAAAATATGTTATGAAAATAGTAATAAGAAGTATAAAACATGATAGAACAATCACTATTAAATAATTTGAAAGAGGGATTAAAAATGTAAGAATAAAAAATGCTGCAGGCCCACATTATTTAATGATTAGTTCTATCTAACCTTTAAAGAAAAAATGGTTCCAACATTATTTAAAATATTCCAATCCATAAAGTATAGCCCCAAATTTATTTTATAAAGTCAGGATAAGTTTAACAGCAAAAACAAAGAGAGTTTTAAAAAATCTCCAGAAGAATCTTATTCATGATTACAAAAACAAAAATTATAATTAAAATAATATAAAATAGAAATAAATGACATACCTAAATAATGATATATTATGATCACCAAGTAAGAATTATTTCAAAAAGTAATAGAAAAGAAAGGGCAAAGCTGTCAGTTTTTCTGATTATATGATTGTAAAATTGACTTTCTTATATATGTGGAGCTAAAAGAAAAATCTTATTGTCAATGGAGAAAGAAGAATGATAATTGCCAGATGCTGGGAAGGATATAGGTGTATATGAGGAAGGTGCATATAAAGAGTATTTTTTTTCTTGAGATGGAGTCTTGCTCCATTGCCCAGACTGGAGTGCAGTGGAGCCATCATGGCTCACACAACCTCCACCTCCTGGCTTAAAATGATTCTCCTGGCTTAGCCTCCCGAGGAGCTCAGACTACAAGTATGCACCACCATGCCTGGCTAATTTTTGTATTTTTAGTAGAGATGGGTTTGACTATGTTGGCCAGGCTGATCTCGAACTCCTGACTTTGTGATTTACCCATATCAGCCTCCCAAAGTGCTAGGATTACAGGCATGAGCCACTGCACCTGGCCTTAAGAAGGTTTTTTTTAAATGGGTACAAACATACAGTTAGATAGAAGTGATAAGTTCTGATGTTCAATTGTAGAGTAGAGTGACTATAGTTAACAACAATATAGTGTACATTTGAAAATAGCTAGAAGTGAGGACTTGAAATGTCCTCAATACATGGAAATAATAAATTCTCAAGGTCACTGACATTCTTAATAACCTGATTGATTATTCCACATTCTACTCATGTAACAAAATATCTCAGGTATGACATATATATGTGCAAATATGTACCCATAAAAAGATATTCTAATATTCTTTCTCAGTTAAAACAATTTTCTAAGAAGGAAGGGCACAGAAATCCAGAGCATTTTTCTGTGTTGACAAGAAACACCTAATAACATATATACACTTCTATTGAATACAAGGAATCTAGAATCCTAAGTGGCAATTTAAGGGGTTCCTGCCCCATACTATTATATTACTGATTTATATAAACAATTTCATTTAAAATATTAATGGTTTTCAGCATTTGCTACAAACACTTCTATATTAGTTCATTCTCATGCTGCTATGAAGAAATACCTGAGACTGGGTAATTTATAAAGAAAACAGGTTAATTGACTTGCAGTTTCACATGGCTGGGGAGGCCTCAGGAAACTTATAATCATGATGGAAGGCACCCCTTCACAGGGTGGCAGGAGAGAGAATCAGTGCCAAGTGAAGAAGGAAGCCCTATAAAACCATCAGATCTTGGGAGAACTCACTATTGAGAGAAAAGTATGGGGAAAACCACCCCCATGATTCAATTATATCCACCTGTTCCTGCCCCTGAGAAGTAGGGATTATTACAATACAAGATGAGATTTGGGTGGGGACACAGAGCCAAACCACATCTATTTCCCATAATTTAGTTGACTTTTAAAACATTTTTCCATGTGCAGATATTAATTTTAGACTGCATAACTGTCACAGGTTCCTTAGGGTGTTGATTTTCCAGATGAAAACCTCTGTGGCTGGTGGCGCCTATGCCTGAGTTTTGCTTGGGCCTGTTGGGCTCATTCTGCCCACTCAGCCTAGCAGGCTGCACTTTGTTCACTCTACTAGCCCAGATCCCATGCCTGCCAAGAGGGAGCCAGACAGAAGTGGTAAGGGGTGTGTGAGAAAGTGAGTGTGGGGTGTGGCCACTGTGCAGAGCCAGGCACATTGACCTCTCTGGTGGGGCTCACAGCTTTAGGTCTCAGCAAAGGTACTGGCATCATGCAAGGCTATGTAAAGTGCATATAAAGAGGATTTTTTTTTTTTCTGAGATGGAGTCTTGCTCTGTTGCCCAGACTGGAGTGCAGTGGTGCCATCTTGGCTCACACAACCTCTACCTCCTGGGTTAAAGTGATTCTCCTGCCTCAGCCTTTGTGCAAGGCTGTGGCTGGATTGGATGTACTGCAAGTGGCTACTACTGTGGGTACCCACATCTGGGTGAGGGGAACTCGGTGGCACCCAGAAGCTTGGAGATACCAAGAACCACAGAGGCCCAAAGATGGTATTACAGCTGTAGCTCAGAGAGCCCCTAGGTCTGGGGTCCCCAAAGGACTGTAGCTCTTTTCTTCTTCTCATTGCCCACAACATGGAGGACACAGGGAGGAAGCATGTTTCAGCCCTATTTGTGTTTCAGCTCTTTCAGTCCCATCATTTGGCAGGTCCTGAGTTCTTATCTCAGAACCAGGAAGAATGAGGTACATGGACAACTAGGGGGTAAGCGAGGTGGAGAGGAGCTTTATTGAGTGATGGAAGAGCTCTCAGGAGACCCAAAATGAATAGTACCTTTCTGCAGGCAGGTTGTCCTTTTGAGTGTCCAGCTTTCAGTGGAAAAGAGACCTGTAGTAGGTAGCTCCTTTCTGCAGGCAGGTCTTCTTGATGAGTGAGTGAGTCTGGCTGAGTCTGGGGTTTTTATGTGCTCAGAATGGAGTTCTTGTATGCTGACTGGTCCATGGCAAGTATAGGCAGCTCTGGAAAAAGTGCCATCTGATTGGCTGAATGGTCATCAATGAAGTTCTCATTCCAGGTTGCAGACTTCACCTGAAACTTGCAACTTGGCTCCCAGGCTTCAGGCTCTCCCTGGATGGAAGGTGGGGCGTCACCAGGATCCACCACAGAGCAGGTGTCATGAGTCCAGAGAGGACAGCAAACAGAAGCAGGTACTTTCAAGCCTGTGAGGGCAGGGGGCTTCCTGGGCTCCCAAGAGCTCAGTAATGCCAGGGTTTGGAGCTATACCTAGACAGCTGCAGCTCTGCCCGGGAGCATGGGCTTCTACTCCACCAACTGGGTAGATGGTAGGGCTCCTGTTTGTTTCCAGCTCCCATGGGTTCCATAGAGTGTGCAGCCCTGACCCCACCTCCCCTACTGCAGCTGTCTTCCTCTCAGTGGCCTCCCCAGACAGGCTGTCTCTGCCATCATAATCAAGC